AAATGAAATTCATAGTGATAATGAGCAAGAAAATAATGTGATGGGAAAAAAGGTAAGTCTTGGTAAATTTTTTTATTAAAAAAAAAATCATAATAATTTGTTATTTTATTGAAATATATTAGTACATTATATTATATATATTTATATATATACAAAATTTAAAAAAGGATTGATTAATTTATTTTTTATGTATTTGCATCTATATGTTACTATATTAAATAAACAAACATATTTGCAGATTTTAGTCAAAAAGGATTTAGATACTGTGAACAAGTAAAATAGTATGGAGATTGTTATTTCTCACTAGTGGTGATCATTGCCATGCGTGAGAAATAACAATCTCCAAATAGTACTGCTTCCTTTCAATGTAATAAAAATTAATAAAAATAACAGACAATAAAAACTTTCTTTCGTAATTTCCAATTTGATTAACATGTATGTTGATAGGTTTTTTGAACTGAATATCAGGATTTCTTATATCATTTCTAATCCATTCATTAATTATAAATTTCAATCTGCCAAATGATTCATATAGTTGGCAAAAATAATTCAAAAAACAAAATAAATTTTTATTATTTAATAAATACCTTTAAGAAATAAAATAATAATAGATCAAAAAAGCAAACATGAATGAAGTCGAACCAAGTCAGACATTATTAAATATAACTTCTTCTTTAGACGATATTATAGAATCAGGCTTAGAAAATTATACAGACAATGTATTATCAAGGTTTGTATTTCGTTGATAATATATATATTTTTCTTCTAATATATAAATAATTTTCACTGGCTTTATTTTTATCAATTAGTTCTCCTGAATTAAGTCCTGCAATAGACTCATTTGAGGATTTTGAAAGGGAGCATGTTGGTCATGAGGCACAACATGGAACAATGGCATTAATATTATTGTGTTCATTGTTTGGATTTCAATTTTTAATTTTATTCTGGAAGCAAAAACACTATCGTTCCTTCCAAGCTGCCACCTTATTTGGCTTGTGGTTAATACCAATGTACATATTTGGAATTCAAGCGAGTTTCTGGCGTTTCTTGTCAATATGGATCTGTTATTCTATTATTAATTTATATGGTAAATTAAATTAATTAATTAGTTACATTATTATTATTATTATTATTATTATTATTATTATTATTATTATATTAAATTGCTGTTATCATTAAAATCATTATTAAGTTATATACCTAGCATCAAGAAAGCCTTTAGATCATACAACTCCAAGGTAATTATTAATTATTTAAATTAACATTGATTTATTTAATTATTACTTACATTTATTTTATTTTTATTTTATTTATATTCAGATTAGTTTATAATTGGTTTTCGATAGTTTATAAAGTGTCATATGCTGTTGGGATGTTTGGTTATATAATCATAATGTTAACATTTTTTAGAATATTAGAGATTTTTTATGAAGGAGCAGAAATATTTGAATTGGGAATTATATTATTAGGTTATGGATTATATTTTGGGTAATAAGGGAATTTCTTATTTATTCTTATTTATTCTTAAAAAAATTTTTTTATCATCAATATTAATAACCTTATACACGTTCAATAGTGTCTTAAGTAGAGATTTTGTTGAAATTTGTACGGATAGAATGGCATCAACTCTTGGTTATTATAGTAAAGATGGTTTTCCTCGTAAACACTTGAGAGCGAATATTTGCGCAATTTGTGGTGTCGCTGCAACAGGAATTGGTGAAAAAGGTGAACAACCACCTGCAAATCAAAAAATATTTAAATTAAGTTGTCGTCATGTATTTCACGATGATTGTATAAGAGGATGGTGTCTTATAGGAAAAAAAGATATTTGTCCATATTGGTAAATACATTCATTCATACATATATGCATTTATTTATTTTGGAAAGATTATTGATATATTTATTTGTTTAAATTTTTGTTCTAAAAAAATAAATTTTTTAGTAAAGAAAAAGTTGATTTGAAAGAATTTAAGACTAATCCTTGGGATACACAGCAACAACTTTATCTAAGTTTACTTGACGGTGTTCGTTATCTAATTGTTTGGCAACCTGTAAGTACTTAATTCTTATTAATATATAATAATTTATTATCTTTAAAATTCGATAAAAATAAATGAATATTTATTTTTTTAATTAGGTAATTTTTGCAATTGTACATCTGACATATCACATATTTGGATTAGAATAACAATGTAATTGTAATAAATATAATAATAATAATAATAATAATATAATATAATTAATACTTATGATAAAAATTTTTCAAAGATTTTATTATACATTCATTCATTCACTCACTCAATTTAATAGATTAATAGATTATATTATTTATTTTTAACGCACACACGCACATATATCTAATATTTACTAATTAATTAATGATTAGATTGTGGTTTTTTTTGTTCATGTCAAAACAAGGGCAAATAAAATAAAGATATATTTTTTAATTTAATTATATATGGCCAAATATTTCCAAAATGCGGTAACAATAATCAAAATAAAATTTATAAAGTTGTAAAAACCATTCTATATAATAGTATTAACATTATGATAATAGTAATAAATATCATTTATAAAATGCATAGAATAAAAAAAATTAAAAATAAAGTGTAAACTTATCACTCATTCGTGTTTAATAAATAAATAAAATGTATAGAATGGTTTAACTTTCTGTCAATAATTCTTTAAATTCTTAATAATCTCTTTTTCTTCCTATACTTTTCTCTTGAATATTAAACCAAAATAATTTAAATCATGTACAGATATATTATCATAGATATCGTCGTAAACTATGCATGTAATATTATTATTAACCAGGAAAATAAAAATTTTATAAAACATACCGGTTACATATCCAACATTTTTAAACACTTGAATTTCTTCATTTGTCTCGCCACGATGTGTAATAATACATTTATTTTCTTGAAAATATATTGCATTGCAATAATAATTTACTGGTTGATAAATATAGTTATGGTGGAGCATTATTGGCAAGAAAAGGATCTGCTGTTATTGTTATTTAAATTATTGCCTCTATCTTACAACTCTTCTCCATGTTCTTGATGTAGTTCATTCTGTTTTGTAGGAATAACAACAACATCATTAATTTGTTCTTTGCCAAGAAATTGTTTATTAAGCATTGCCCTTCATCCATCTCACTTTCTCACTCTCACTAGACGATGATGTTATGGTATTTGTATCGGTTGAACCATTTTTTGAAACTGATAGATAAAATATCTTTTGGATGACGACGATTATGGTGACGACGGCGATGATAACTTTTGGATGTTTACATGATTTAGATGATTTGTGATTCAGATGATGGTGATGATTATGGTATCTTTTCTTTCTTGGTTCATCCGTTCTTTCATTTTCATTATCTAATCCAGTACTACCAATAATACCATAATATAAGAAGAAATATTAGAATAACTATAACTAAGCGATTATTCTTTTTCTTAATATTAACAAGTTGTTGTTGAACTTGGTGTATCTATGAGATTTTTCGGAAAAAACATTTCAAAATTATCAATTTAATTTTTATGTATATTCATTTACCTTCTGTTTTTATAATACAGTTCACACCCTTTCTATAACGAACACTAAGTAAATCTCTCTATAACGAACTTCACTTTTGGCACTGATTCATTTTTTTATAATTAATTTCTCTCTATATAACGAACATCTTAGTAAACACTCTATAACGAACAAAAGTAGAAAAATTACATATAGGGACGGAAGGTTTGTGAGCTGTACTCTGGTAAATTGGCCAAATTACAAACCACTTATGTTAAAATGAAAACAAAAAAAAAATGAGCATATATTATATGCAACATTTTCATATGATTTATTTTTTTTTTTTTACTTCATTTCCTTCTCTAATTCAAAAATTATCTGTGTCACCTTTGATCTACCAATAATAATTCTAAATGGGCTTAATGATGCTAGTGAAAACCATTGGAAACTTTATATAAAAAAAAATCAACAACTTTTAATAAAACCAACTACATCTCTTTGTCTTTCGTACTTCTTGCTCGAAAGATCCTTTCGAAGACAGGTACTTATTTTTTTAAAATTTTGCAGAAATGCTGGATGTCGTTTTTAAAAAAATAAAAATATTAAAAAACTAAAAAAAAAAGAAAAAAAAACTTAAAAAAATTAAAAAATATATAAAATAGGATCTGTGTATAAAAAAAAAAAAATAGATAATATATTTATATAAATATATAAATTAAAGCCATCGGCATCAAGCAATTAAAAAAAAAATAATAATAATTTATATATATAAATTTTGGTATGTTTCATTTTCTTTAATTTTTGACTTGGGGTTTTTTAACACACTTTTTTTTGCTTTTTCTTTTTTTTTCAACCATCATCACATCACATACATATTATATACATATATATATGTGTAACTTTTTGAATCAATTGGAAAAACATACAACTATTATTGTATCTGCTGCCACCACTGCTATTACTATCATCCATCTCCAAAAAGGTTTTTTTTAAAAATTTTTTTCGAGAAAAAATGAGAGAAAACGACAACTACAAAGCTACTAGTAAAAAAATACAGGAGTCATAATGAGAGATCAGAGAAAGATCCATGTATTTATATATTTTTCAGCAACAAAAATTGATTGTTCTGTCGATTTTGATGTGATGATGATGACGACGACGGTTAAGAAGACAGAGAGATGAAGATAACTTTTTTTTATTACTATTGTATTCTCTCGCTCCCTCCTTCCCTATTGATTCGTTCGTTCAATATTGCACTTTTTTTTTAAATAACATACAATCAAAATCCCAAAAATATTATTATTTTCTATTTATTTTATAATACCTACTCTAATTAAAATAATGAACGGAAAAAAAAAAGATTATTTTTTTTTCGTTCATTAACAAAATTTTTTTAAAATCATCCCTTCACCACCACCACCACTACTACTATTACCACATTTAATACTATGACTGAAATGACAGAAGAAACTCAAGATGCTGTCCAAATCGAAGAACAAGTTGAACATCATGAAGAAAATACAGAAGACGCCGAAGCGGTATATATTGTTTAATAATATTATTATGTTCATCATATTATTAGATCAATTATTTATTTTGTTTTGCTTTGTAATTGTTTGTTATTTTATATCAATGAAAAAAAAATATTAAAAGCTTGAAGCAATGAAACAACGAGTAAAAGAAATGGAGGAAGAGGCTGCAAAACTTCGTGAAATGCAGGCACAAGTTGAGAAGGAAATGAATTTGAGTGCAGAAGGTATTTTTAGATTAAATTAATAATAATAATAATAATAATAATTATTATTATTATTATTATTATTATTAATATTAACCAATGTATGTTATTTATGTACAGATAAGGAAGCTATTGATGCAAGATCAATTTATGTTGGAAATGTAAGTGTATATTATTAATTTGTTTACACTTTATAGGATATAAATTCTTTAATTATTTTTATGATTTTAAAAGGTTGATTATGCCTGTACACCACAAGAATTACAAAATCATTTTCAATCTTGTGGTACAATAAACCGAGTCACAATACTTTGTGATAAATGGAGTGGGCATCCTAAAGGGTAAGTAGATATATATTTAAAAACATAGATACGCGGAATATGAACATACGTATGAATTAATATTCCCAATTATTTTTTTAAATTTAGATATGCTTATGTCGAATTTGCTGATCCGTCCTTGGTCACTCATGCAATGTTGCTAGATAACACCCTGCTGCACGGACGTCATATCAAGGTTAATCAAAAATAATATTCATAATTAAACATCCATCCATCCATCTTATTAATTTAATTAATTAATGTTAGGTTACTGCTAAACGTACAAATGTTCCGGGTTATAGTAGAGGAAGAGGCAGAGGTGTTCGTGGTGGTAGTTGGCGTGGTGGATATTTTCCACCTGGCACTTATTATGGAACAAATTTCAGAGGCGGACGTGCAAGGTAATATATATATATATGTATAGGTGTATGATCCATATACTGATATATAATTATTTGCAGATAAAATATGCATTTTTTTCATTTATTTTTTGTTTCAATTCTCTCTTTTTTTCCCTTCTCTCTCTCTCTCTCTCTCTATTTTCTAATTTTAAAAAATAATAATATAATATAATAATAACAATAGAGGAAGACGTGCTACTTTTGCACCTTATTAGAATGGATTAATAATAATAATAATAATAATAATAATAATAATAATAAAATTTATTTTCTTCTTATTCCTTTTTTATTATTTTTTAAATATTTTTAGCTTTATATTATTAACAATATTAATATTAATATATTATATTTAATTTGGTAGTTATTAAAAGAACATATATACGGAGAAATGTTTTTTTTTGTTGCTTCACATTATTATTATTATAATTATTATAATTGGATGTTGATTTTTTTTTAAAAAAATAATATTTATATAATAAATATATAAATATAAATATATATGTATTATGAATGTTTATTGAGCTTTGATAATGCAAAAATAGTAAACAAATTGTTTTATTATCTTAAAATAAAATGATTGATTAATTTGACTTTATACATACATACATACAATAAAAATTAAAATATTAAAAAAAACCTTTTTAAAAAAATGTCAATTTAATAAATTCTAATCAATAAACTTTTCTTATTATTATCTACCCTTATTCACAAAAAAAAAAAACAAAACTATTTATTATTGTTGTTTTGCTGTATTATAAAAATTACCGGAAATATGTATATGTATATATTATTATAAATTATATTAATATAATTTCTATATTCAATATAGTAAAATTAGTTTAACAAAGTTTTATTTAAAAAGGAAAAATATATTTTATAACCATCTTTCTACAATGTTTATCATAGCTGAACCATTAATAGTAATATTGGAATCAGTGTTGGTGTCATTGGTAACCTCATCTAAACTAGAATTAAGACCACCTTTATTATTATTTGAAATCATAATGGAATTCCTTTCATCTGTAATCATTGTGGTAAAGGTGCTTCGTTCTCTACCACAACCTTCCGGCGTGGCCAAGAAATAATTAGAATTTATGCAAATCAATTTATCCACAATTCCTGACATACCAGCACCAACAAATTCAGATTCAAAAGCCATATCTTGACGTAAATCACCCAGAACATTCACGGTAGCCCAATTGTTAAGATTCACCGATGAATTGAGATATTTCATTGCGTCATGATGAAAATCAGTCAATAAATGGAAGGTCGAGGATTGTGTTTTTTCACCGCCAGAAATAGGATAATCAGTAGCTAAATAAACATTTTCTATTCCGTGCTTCAATTTAATCTCGTTGATTTTTTCGACAAGTTTTACAGAACATTCATCCAACTTCTTAAGACTAGCTCTTTCCATACGCCAATGCACAGCTATATAAGGTTGAAGTTTTCGAGATATTCTTTCAGCTTCGTCAAAGAAATATTTTGCGTAAGGCATTGGGGGAGTGACATTTGGGAATAATGGATGGAATACAAAATGTGCTGTCAATAATACATCAACGTCACTAACTAAATTTTCAGTCAAAAAGTTTGCGAAATTCTGATGAACAATTATGTCTTTGGTGAATTTTGGACCGGTATTAAATTGTTTGAAAACGGTATTATCATCTAAAGCGAAATCAAATCTATTTAAACAATGTTTTGTTTTAAGTATTTCAGGATAAGGAGTTACATATTCCATGGTGTGATTAGTGTTACCAGGTAATATGTAAGCGTGTTCAGTGTTTGGTTTCTTTTGACGTTCGCTCAACCAATTTTGAAAATCTTGTTGAGTGATAAATTTGACATCAGGAAACATATTTTGCACTTCATCTACATCATAGTAAAGATTAAAAGTGAAATTTTGACAGGAATTGATTCTACTGTTACCAACATTTGTTAAAACCATCACGCGATCCAATGCTCCTGCAAGATTAACGAATGATCTATAATGCATATTTGCTTTTGTTTCTTGTTCTGGTTGATAGTAAGCAAATAAAAATTTACAATCTGATTTTCCGCAATATTTTCTATTGATTTCCATATCATAATTTGAAAGCATTTTATCATGATCAATGCTCTTGTGTGTATCAATTGATACATGTATATCAGCCCCACCATCTCCTATCACATCAATATCTATCACTATGCCAGGTTTAACATCATCATTATCATTATTATCATTATCATAAATATAACCCTAAATAATAATTAAAAATTAATATATATAGACAAACGCACGCACGTGCATTAAAATATAAATATAAATAAATAGATATATACTTACATCATTACATTGTTCAGCAAATAAACCAGCAGGGTTTATTAAGGCTTTTGATACATCGTCTTTGTAATAAACATATCCAAGTATATTGAAAAATACGAACATTACAACACAATAAGTTGTGAAGTTTTTAGTCCATTCATGTTTCCGTACGTATAAAGGTGGAACAGTTATATTTCTTTTAGTCATAATTTTATTTTATTTTATTTTTAATAATAGTATTATTGTTTTTTAAACACGTTCCAAAGAAAATCAATTTTTCAATAATAATAACGTATCGATAATAATAATAATTTTTTTTTTGAAAATGAAAGTGAAACTTCCCAAAAACACAGAACTTTTAAGAAAAGTAAACTACATAAGGGAAAAATAAATTGTCCTTTTATATGAAAATAAAAAAATTTTTTTTGTACTTTTTTTCTGTTTGTTTGTTTATTTTTAATTTAAAAACGAATTACAGAGTAGATAAATTTAGAAATTCTTTTATAGATTTCCATCGCACAAATTCTCCCATTCTTATTATCACATTTCTTATTACTAACTAGTTACTATAAATATCTCTAAATAAAGTTCATTTTATTTTTTAGGGATTAGGGAAGAATTGTAGTTTCATATCTTTTTTTGTTTTTTCTTATCAGGATCCTATCCTACCAATACTAGTCCCTAAATGTGTTTTTTTATTCTAGAATGCAGTAATGTGTAACGCGTATGGGGAGGATTTGACGCATTTCAGTGGTACCTGAGAAATTTTGATCAGCCGGCATTGATAAAATTCGGTTAATTTCACCAATATTGTTATTGACGCGCGTTATGATACACTAGTAATTTATTGCTAAATTTGTAAAATAGTTTCCAAATTTGTAAAATAGTTTCTAAATTTGTAAAATAGTTTCTAAATTTGTAAAATAGTTTCTAAATTTGTACGACGTTTGCTATCAAAGTTAAACCATTTTTGATATTAAGCTCAAAATCATTTTTAAGCATATTTTCACCATTTGAAATAAAAATACATTTAGTTAACTCTCGTCTTCTTGTCACATATATGCATCTTTTGTGCCTTTTTTTTACCAAAATAATAGAGAGTATGTCATTCATTATGAATAATAATAAACGAGAAGTTTGTTATTATAATCATAATGAAGTTTTACTTTGTGTTTGAAGTCATATTTCTCGGGACAGCGGACGGCATAAAGGATAAAAATGTTATTGTTGTTATTGTTATTTATGCATGTAATGTTACTAGATTGCCCGCATTTTCTAAATGTGACAAAATCTATATAGGTGTATATACATATATACGGTATAATAATTTATCCAGTCACCTTTCTTAAAAAAAAAATTTTTTTGTTTTGAGCAATCATTGTTATAATGGTAATCAAGAAAATCTTTCTATTTTTCTACGTCTGGTTTATTACAACAAATAAGGAATGAACCTTTTTCTTTGACTACAATAAACTTCCCAATCTCTTCCAAAATGTTTTTTCAAAATTTTTTCTTCAACTGTTATTCTATTAATAAATATTAAAAAAAATACTAAAACTGTGACATAGTTGAAAAATAAAATTTCAATATAATTTGGAAGATAATCCTTAATGACGAATGACATATATTCTATATTTGCCAACATTAATATATAACCTGTATACTGTTTGTTGAAAAGTGTATGATATAAGTGTTAATTAGTAAATAGTTTGATAATAATCATAATCAACAACGGCAATAATCAGACACTTACAGATGGATGAATTAGTAAAGAGTATGGACCGGTTGTGATTAATTTATGATCCTTTTGAACCTTAATATCAAAAGTGAAAAACTCATCCAACGACCTATAACACCATAATCTTAATAACGCTCCGAATACTGTGGAAAAGTAGAAAATCAAATCAAAAAGATACCAAGATGATAAATCTCTTTCGTGTAATAATTCCGCCTTATACTGTTGTCCAATCATAAGAAAAATGTAATAACTTGATATTAAGATTGCTACTGAAACTGCCAAGTAAGGAAATACATAGACTGTACAAAATCCAATTATTCCTTCATTTTTAATAACTTCTGATGGTTTACTAGTTAAATTATGAGGTTTCGTCCCCGCTTTAATATAAAGGTACGACTGAATAATTAACGCGATGGTCTTTGAATACATATTTTTTTATTTTTTATTTTTTTTATGATGAGGAATACATTATGATTTAAATAAGAACAAATTGCTTACTAATTGGGCACAAATAAATTAACACTGGTTTCATTTATTTATGTTGTATGTGAAATATTATGGAGTGGGGTGAAATTCTGATTGGCTAATTTGAATTTCACACATGTAAATTTGAATTTCACATTTGCCTTAATATTTTACTTGTTTCATGGTTTAATGACGTGCATTCCCAAGTAAATAATTAATGATTACTGTGAAAATCAATTAATTTATTCATTAACCTGATTTATCGATTGGCGAAAGTAGGAATTTTACCAAAGAAATTTCTCAAGGAAAAACAAAGTAAAATCCAATTATTCCTTCTTTTTTAATAACTTCTGATGGTTTACTAGTTAAACTACGAGGTTTCGTCCCCGCTTTAATATAAAGGTACGACTGGATAATCAACGCAATAGTCTTTGAATGCATTATTTTATTTTATTTTATTTTATTTTTTTATGATTTAAAAAAGACAAATTGCTTACTAATTGGCACAAATAGATTAACCACTGGTTTTCATTTATTTACATCATTGATTGCCACATTATTAAAAATTTTAATAATACATTATGACTACAAAATATTCAAAATATAATATTCAATATTTACGAATTTCAGAAAGACAAGTTTTGCCCTTAATATTTTACTTAAAAGAAGCGCATGTTTCATGGTTTAATGACGTGACATTCCAAGTAAATAATTAATGATTACTATGAAAAATAAATTAATTTATTCATTAAACTTGATTTATCGATTGGCGAAAGTAGGAAATCATTGCTGCTTTATATAATATTTTACCAAAGAAATTTCTCAAGGAAAAAACAAAGAACAGGCAGGGAGAAAACAGAAGTTATAGCAACAACAACAATAATAATGATAATAGAATGTCATCTGATGTTTATCGTGGTGGTAATAATAATAATATCAAGATTTCTTGAGAAAATCTATTTATAAATTAATTAATTAATAAAAATGATTATAACTTAGCAAATTTTCAGTTTGCATATTATTTTAAACCCACTGAAGCTAAACATTCGGTATTAACAAAGGTTTGTTTCTCGCCTTAATATATAACTTCGTTCTGGATATTAATATCTAATATTTATATATTATAAAAAAGGAAAAGAATTTTATTTTTCCATCATCTGAAAAACTTGCATCAAAACGAGACAAACATAATAAAAATAACAATGATAACGAAGAAGACGTGAAGCCAATACTTGAAATTGGATATCGAGGATTTAATGTTTTTAGAAAGTCTTTAATAATGGTCATAGAACCACGTAATAATGTTATTGAATATGGTAGAAATATTGATCTTATTTCTGCAATGAATATTGATGACTATGTTGGTCAAAATGAAGATGAAGATGAAGATGAAGATGGGGATGGGGATGTGGATGAAGTTACAGAAAGAGAAGAATTAGGAGGTGAGGATTGTGGAGAAGTAAGTGAGGAGAAATGATTATATATAGAATGAATGAATTGTTTATATGTTTATGTTTAAATAAATAAAGTCTCTTGAAAATTTTATTAATAAAGTTATCTGGTTTTTTCAAAATAAGTAGAAGTACTTATATAAGTAACGCTACTTTCTACAACTACTTCCCCAATTGTTAGAAATTTTGTAACTGCTGTTCTTAGATCAGGATTTCCGATTCGATTTGTAGCAACTCTATTATAAGTATCAGTATTATTATCAGTGTTATTATCAGTATTAAAAATATTTAGAATGACGATAAAGACAAAACTTACGTATATCCTGTAGATTTTTTTATTCCAGCTAGAACAGCAGATATTAACACTGCATCAATTGCTATATGGACAATTTTACCGACGACCATTTTTTTATTTTATTTTGTGTGATGTGTTTCTTTATAAATCTAAAGAAAAGGTCTTAATATATAATAACGAAAAAAAGAAAAGTGTAATTTTTAGAATTTATAATTTATGAAATGGAATTTAGGGAAAATTTGAATAAAGTTTTATAATATAAAAATTGAAATCAAGTGAAGCCTTTCTTGATCTGTCTGTTTAAACACACTAGTGAATGAAATTCTTTAATAGATAAAAAACTAGCGTTGATCTTATTTAACAACTATTAAATCCTAATAATAGTAATAATAGTAATGATAATAGAAATAATTATGGTAATAATAAAAGGTTATTATTATTATTATTGTAATTATATTTACAATTTATACATACATTTTCTTTAGAATAAAAATTGAAAATAAATATTACTTTTTGCAATATTAATTTTACCATATATATCTCGAGAATTACAAGAATTACAGCCAATAAAATCATTCCAATTCATTACGTAATATTTAAATATAGTACTGAATATCAGATATTTCAATAATCATTTTGGCAATAGCAAATATTTTAATTATTCAGTGAATATTCAGCGTTATCAAAAGTTTTAAATTTATCAAATCAAACAAATAAAAGTGAATTAAGTTTGTATTTCCAATAAATATGTAACGTAGATTCACCACCACGTACTACAACATTACAATGAACAATAATATCAGAAGCTTTGGAAACATTAACTTGAAAAATACTGTAGCTCCTTTAGATTTCCTCCATCATCTTTAAGTTTCTTCTATCAAGTTCCATAGCCAACTTGACTTCTTAGAACCATCCTTTACTTTTCTTTTCTTCAAATATGAACGGCAGAAGACTTCTTCACTCTCATTATTGTATTATTAGTTTCTTCTCTGAATTCTCTTCTTCCATTTTAAGCGAATAGAAGTGAAATAATTTAATTTATGGTTGCAAATTACTAGTCCCACGCCTCAACGACGATTTCAAAAAAAATTGTTTGGTCATGTGATATTTTCTAGTCATTCCATAAATAGTAAAATCGGCAATAATATCTTTTTCCCATGGACATTATATCAACCAAAATTTAACCAAAAATTACACCTCGTACCTTCATAACTGTATGGTACTTAGATAGCTAAATTGTGGGTGGTGGACACAAACAGATATCGAAAAACACACTCAATTCAGATAAAATAAATGGGAGCAAGGCTTGTTGCCTAAAGGGCCATCAACCAGTAAACTGACTCACATGAATAGCAATATATATCAGTAGCATGGTAATATATGAGGCATAACATCATTTCTTATATGCAGAGCATCGGCATTCTAACAAATTTTCATATATAGCATTCCTCTGATGTAGAGCAAAGCGGAGCATTGACATTCTAAAATTAATACACTTGGTTAGATAAAATCAGGAATGATGTTTTGCATCATGCATTTTGGTTAGATAAAAATCAGGAATCATTCTTTCCATCATGTACTTTGGCTAGATTATATCCTGAAATTCGTGATTGAGATAATCTTCTGAAGAAAGGTCTTTTCACAAAGTCTTTGATGATGCATTGCAACATTAATATTCTCTTTTTTATATATCAAACTGTCCACAAGCAGAAACAGTAGGCTTTTCGCAAATTGTACAAGGCACGCATTGTTTGGTCTTATAATACAAATGACATCCTTCAGGATGTGTATATGAGGCATTACAAATCTTGCCAGAATTATGTAAATATGGGCAGGTATATTTTCCAAGCATTTTTACAGAGCGAAATAATTAATTAAAAGTAAAGCTCCGAACGAGCTGAGCCGAGTTTATGCTTAGCTCGACTCGAAAACTCAAATTTAATATTATAAAATCACGATTTTGCAACCACTGAAAATAATTGAAGCAATAATAAACTATAATATGCTTGAATTTCAGAACATTTAAACCATCATTAATAATTTAAAAAACCGAAAATTTCAAATAAGAACAATTCTGTGTTTTAATATCTATTTCTGATAAAAATTTTTTTTGATGCATATAAGAAATTGCATATAAAATTTGTTATTAATAATCACGTTTCAATGAATTTTGTTTTTTAAAAATTCATAGTAACGCAAATTTAATTATCCCTTAAACTGTCTGCCGTCCAAATTTGGACGCTAATTTTTTTTTCATATATAAAATCTTTTCTGATCATCATGCTTTCTAATTAAACAAATGATATTTGTGATTTTATACACTGATCTATATATAGAAATTCGGCCATTATTATTATGGGTTTTGTAAAACTGTAAAAAGTCTACCATGCCCGTGTCGATCATTACCTTAAAAATTGATATTCATAATAAAATTTTTTATTGTGCGATTTGGTTAATTTTGATTGGTGGAATTTTGTAATTTACCAATAAATTTTTCGAAATTCCCTTATTCGAAAATGTGGACAGTTTAAGGGGTAGTAAATAATCGAAGATTTATTTAAACTTTAAAACGTAAAGGCTCGAAAACTCTCTGGCAGGCCCTTAATTGAGCATCTGCAAATATAATTGCAGATGGATTATTCCAACAGCTTGCTTAGTTTTTTTCATTTATATTAGTAAAAAAAATTTTTGTAAAGGTTCAAAGTTATCAATTTTCCATTAACATTTGCTTTGAGAATCCTTCCCTTTTAAGGAAATAGAAAAATGTTGTTAAATAAAAATATATATTATTAATGCTTTTGTAATGAAAAGATTTATTTCACGAAATGACTTACAAATTATTCTTAGTTGTGAAAATTTATATTACAAATTTTATTAAAAAAAATCCGCATATATGAAATTTAATTATTGATGTTTATTATCAACCGTTGTGATCACTGCATATCATCTATAGATTTTTTTTATATATTTATATCCCCTTTCCCTATTCACTTTGCTTGGTGAATTATACAAGATAAATGGCTATAATATTTTTATTGGACAAAATATTGTAAAAGTCATTTTATTTGTAATGCCCTAAGAGTAATGATGTTAGCCGGCTAATAATCTGCATGCATAATAGAAATAAAATTACCAATTTAGGTAATAAACAGCTTAGCCAGCTAAGAGGTATAAATACAATTGGGTTTAGACCAAGTTAAAAGTAATTATTAAAATTTATTTCAAGTATTTGTTTCAAAATTATGATGGTAATAATGGTAATAACATTTTTTTAGCAATATAATTTAGAAATATTTTTAGCAAAAAAAAAAACAAATATACAGGGCATTATCAAGAAGATTAAGCTCAAAAAAGTTGATTTCGAAAGAAACCACAATTGAGAAAAGTAAGAGAATTCATTTCATGTTTAAAACATATACACATATATATGTGCTTGTAAATTTTTACTTATTTGATTTGATGCTTTTTATAGTTAAAAAACAGCATGAAGATTCCGTAATTGTTAGAACCGTTATTCCATTAAATGATGTGGTATAAAATAATTAATAATTTTTATTATTGTTGTTATTTTTATTATTATTATCATCATATTAATTAATTGATGAATTTTTATGTCAAATAGTAGAATTACATTGCCATGTAAATCAAATGGTAATGACATTTTTTTAGCAATATAATTTAGAAATATTTTTAGTAAAAAACAAATATACAGGACAAAAAGTTGATTTCGAAAGAAACCACCATAGAGAAAAGTAAGAGAATTCATTTCATATACACATATATATATGCTTGTAAATTTTTATTTATTTGACTTGATGATTTTTATAGTTAAAAAACGGCATGAAGATTCCGTAATTCTTGGAACCGTTATTCCATTAAATGATGTGGTATATAATAATTAATAATTTTTATTATTGTTGTTACTTTTATTATTATTATTATCATATTAATCAATAGATGAATTTTCATAGTTATCAAATGGTAGAATTAAATTGCCATGCAAATCTATAAATTGTGAGCACATCCAGTGTTTTGATATTTTACCATTTTAAGGATGAACTCGAATTTAACCAAGAAAGCCAATATGGAAATATTTATAAACTAAATGACGCCTAATGTAAACATTCAAATAAATATCACAATTATTTACAAACGTTTAGATATTTATTAATGAACTGATAATTTTATTGTTGTAAAATTATAAAAAAGTTATCTTTATTTGTTTGAATTTTACATCTTTAAATAGTAAAAATACAATTCTTAAAATACAAATATAAATCATAAAGAAAATAAATAAATATATAATCTATATATTGTATGGAAGCTTATAGACTTCCCGGAAAGTATTGATCATAATTAAAGATAACTTCTTGATTATAAATAATATAAATAAAATAATAATATGATCATAACAATATAATATCCACATTCCTTAATAAAAATAATAATGATAATAATAATAATAATATTTATAATTCTTTAACCAAAAATCCCGATTGCCAAGTAACGATAAAAAAAAAATGAATTCCTCTTACCAAATATGGTAATAAAATTTAAATGTGAGATATTATTTCAACAGTGCGGATCATCTATACTCAAAAGTTAAAATTTTTGAAATATTATGTGATCCACACATCGGATTTTAAAAAACCCACCACCATTCAATTCAGCTTTAAAAATGGAGTCTATTAATCTAAAAAAAAATTTGTCTCAAATTTTCTTTTTCATAGATTTTTTAATTTGAAAGTTATGCTCAGAAGTGCAACAATAATTTTCGTGTTACAATATTTTGAATCTCACGACCAAATCTGGTAATGATTTTCTTTTAATGTAATATGTTCGTTAAACTTTTTTGTTGTAAAGA